ATCTTCAGGAACAGGAACAGGCACAGGAACAAGTGGACAGTGTCCAGGTGATACATAATAAGTATTCCACAACAGTTGTCATTTGTAATCATCAAAATTAAACGAAATAAACATTTGAAATATATGAGTTTGTATGTAATGTATGAATATAATATACAAGTTTCACTTTTTAAATGGAATTACTGAAATAAATCTACTTTTTCATGATATTCTAATTTTATGACCAGCACCTGTATAGTTGTCTATAATTTGTCTAAAATGTCATGGTATGACAAGGCCTTAAGATTTGGTGTGGAAGTAGCTGTGTCATCCTCTATTCAGTTCAGTTCAGTTCTGTTTTTTATACAGTGCCAAGTCACAACAAACGTTGTCTCAGGGCACTGTACAGTCAGTCTAAAGGCCCTGTCACACTATAACGTTTTAGACAGCTTATGCCAACTTATGAACATTTTGTCCAACACTGAAGATGTCTACGTTGAATTACAAAAAAATCTACTGGGAGCCTTTTTTTAGCTGTATACATACTGTAATGCTAACAATTAGATCAAAATCAGTATATTACCTGAATGAGTAATTTATTCATAATATAATGTTCATAAGTCAGCATAAGTTGATTAAAACGTTATAGAGAAACATATTTAAGGAAACCAACAGATTGCACTGAATCCTCACTTCATCACAGTCTCCCGTCCTGAGCAACACATTGGTGACAATGGAGAGGAAAAACTCCATTTTTAACATGAAGAAACCTCCAGTAGAACCAGGATGGGCGGCCATATGTTTCAACCAGCTGGGTTTGGGGACAGGAAAGAGACACAGAGAAAACACAGAAGGACTGGTGCAGGTGTATTTTCTTCTGGAAGAGAGAAAAAACATGTTATTGATAGAAATGATTACAGCAAACAGGTAGAGGAGAGTGACTAAAACAGCAGCAGAGTGAGAAAATATGGTTTGTTTATCCTCTAGCAGTCTAAGATAATAGCAACATAACTAAGGAATAAATCAGGAAACCAATCCGAACTATAGGATTTATCAGAAAGGAAAGTCTTCAGTCTAGTCTTAAAAGTAGACAGAGTGTCAGCCTCAGTTGGTTCCACAAGAGAGGAGCTTGATAACTGAAAGCTCTGCCTCCCATTCTACTTTTATGTGGCAGTCTATTGAACACAGAGTAAACTCATTTCAGCCGCTTGTATCTGCAATCTCGCTCTTTCGGTCACCACCCAAAGCTCGTGATCATAGATGAAGGTAGGAATGTAGACCGATGTGGACCGATAAATCAGGAGCTTTGCCTTTTGGCTCAGCTCCCGCTTCACCACGACAGACCGGTACAGCGCCCACATCACTGCAGATGCAGCACCAATCTGCCTATCGATCTCCCGCTCCATTCTTCCCTCATTTGTGCATATGACCCTGAGATACTTAAACTCCTCCACTTGGGGCAGGACCTCCTCCCCGACCCGGAGAAGGCACTCTACCCTTCACACTCGGCTGCGAACCGCTCCAGTGAGAGCTGGAGATGACGAACTGATGAAGCCAATAGGACCACATCATCTGCAAAGAGCAGAGACGTGATCCTAAGGTCACCAAAATGGATCACCTCAACACCTTGGCTGCGCCTAGAAATTCTGTCCATAAAAGTTATGAACAGAATCTGTGACAAAGGGCAACCTTGAAGTCTTTTTCCATGGCCTCTCTGAACTCCTCCTACACCCTCAGCGACCACCCGAGCCACATTCCACTTGGACTGCCAATACCTATCAGCTGCTTCCGGAGTCCCACAGGCCAAAAGGACTACTCCTTCAGCCTGGCAGCATCCCTCACCGCCGTTGACCACCAGCGGGTTCGAGGGTTGCCACCACGACAGGCACCGACAACCTTACGGCCACAGCTCAGGTAAGCTGCCTCGACAATGGAGGCACGGAACATGGCCCACTCGGACTCAATGTCCCCCACCTCCCCTGAAACATGTTCAAAGTTCTCCCGGAGGTGTGAGTTGAAGCTCCATCTGACTGGAGACTCTGACAGATATTCCCAGCAGACCCTCACAATACGTTTGGGTCTGCCAGGTCTGACCAGGATCCTCTCCCATCATCGGAGCCAACTCACCACCAGGTAGTGGTCAGTTGACAGCTCCGCCCCTCTCTTCACCCGAGTGTCCAAGGCATGCGGCCACAGATCAGATGAGATTTGTGAGATCCACAACAAATTCGATGATCAAACTGTGTCCGAGGGTGTCCTGGTGACAAGAGCACATGTGGACACCCTTATGCTTGAACATGGTGTTCATTATGGACAATCCTTAACGAGTGCAGAAATCTAGCAGCAGCAGTTTTGATTAACTAAAGACTTCTTAAAGAGTTTTTTTGGACACCCAAATAATAATAGAGAATGACAATAGTCTAGCCTAGACATAATAAATGCATGGATCAGTTTTTCTGCATCATCCTTGTCATATACTCAAGAACAGGTTGAGAAAGATCATAATGTTATGCATATAACTACTATTCCCTGAAGGAGAGGAACGAGGTACAACACATGAAGTATGGGACACCATGCCCTGCATGTCCTGGCTGAAGACACCTCTAATCACGCCTTTAGGCAGATGACGTGATGATGACAGGTGACAGGCCCCGCCTGCACTATATACTGCCCATCATCACCGTCATTCCTCAGTTCGAAAGCCACTCTTCACCGAGCCCAGCTGTGCAGCGGGGCCACCATGTGTTGTACCTCATTCCTCTCCATCAGGGAACAGTAGTTTATTGCATAACATTATGTTCCCTTTCAGTCGATTCACTCGGTACAACACATCATGTATGGGACATATATAAACGCCCCGCAGAGCAGCACCAAACTTTTGTCACATTAACATGCTAGTGCAGCATTTCAGACCCAGCAGAGAGCACAGAGTGAGCCACCGAGGGGGCTGTCACATCTAAGCGATAAAACTGAACAAATGTGTGCGGTGAAGACCAGCTGGCCGCAGCACAGATGTCACTCACAGGTACCCCTTTAAATAGGGCCCAGGATGCTGCTACACCCCTGGTGGAGTGAGCTCTCACACCAGATGGGACTGGGAGGCCCCTGCTGCTGTAAGCTAACGAGATAGCCTCCACAATCCAGTGGGAGCAAACATCCACCATGGAGCACTGGAATGGGACAATGTGCCTGACCTCACACCACTGCTCGAAAGCGTGCCACGTGTAGGTATATAAACC